CCGCGAGGCTCGCTTCCAGGTCCTGGCGTTCCTTGGCGTGGGCGTCGTCGCGACTCCTCATGGCGTCGGTCAGCCGCGACGAATGCTCGCGGTCCTTGTCGACCTCGAGGGTCGCCGTCGCCGACTGGAGGTCGGCCTCGTGCTTGCGCTGCTGGGCCGCGAGCTGTTCCTCGTGTCGCGCGACCGTCTCCTCGACGGTTGCCTCGTGGGTTCGTCGCTGCGCGGCGACCGCGTCCTCGTGTCGTGCGACCGTCTCCTCGACGGCGGCCTCGTGGGTTCGTCGCTGCGCGGCGATGGCGTCCTCGTGCCGGGCCGCCGTCTCCCCGACGGCGGTCTCGTGCGACTCGCCCAGCGACGACCGCTGCTCGGCGAGCGCGGCCTCGTGATCTCGTCGCCGCGCGGCCATCGCGTCCTCGTGGCGCGCCGCGGCCTCCTCAACGGTTCGCTCGTGCGACTCGACGAGCGCGGACCGCTGGTCCGCGAGCTCCGCGGCGTGCGCCTCGGCGAGCTCCGCGCCGCGGGCCTCGAGCGCGCGCGCGTGGTCGTCGTCGCGGGCCCGCAGCGCGTCGGCGAGCGCCGCGCCGTGGTCGTGGTCCTTCTCGAGGGTCAGCAGCTCCGCGGCGGAGGCCAGGGCGGACTCGTGGTCCGCCGCGAGGGCGTCGCGGTCCGCGGCGTGCGCGGCGCCCGCGCGGCGGAGCTCGTCGGCGTGGGCCTCGGCCTGGCTCTCGAGCGCCGCGGCGTGCGCCTCCTCGAGGTGGTCCCGGAGGTCGCCGAGCGCGGCCGCGGCGCCCGCGTCCGCGGCCGCGCGGTCGTCGTCGATCTTCGCGAGCGTCACGCGGAGCGTCCAGCGGCGCCAGGCGCGGTTGAGGCGCTGCTTGAAGAGCTTGACCATGCCCCGCGCGAAGATGCCGTAGCCGTGGACCTTGTTCATGGCCCGGTGCGCGTAGTCGAGGGAATGCTTCAGCGCGACGTCGTGGTCGTCCTGCACGGACGCGACGGCGCGCGCGAGCGACGCGCGCTCGAGCCAGGTCTTGAAGGCCATGTGGCGCCGGTGCTTGGCCCAGCGCGCGACGGTCGTCGCCGCGAGGCCGAGCGCGGCCGCGCGCGTCGCGTCGCGGACCTCGGCGCGCGCGGCGTCCGCCGCGGCGGCCGCGCGCGCGTCCGCGGCCGCGACGGCCGCCGCGTGCTCGACGTCGACGTCCGCGAGGGTCTGCTTGACGGCCTCGCCGTACTCGCGCGCCGCGTCGCTCAGCTCCGCCGCGTGGCGGTCGCGCTCGCTCCGGAGCTGGGCCTCGTGGGCGTCGACGGCGCGCGCGAACGCGGCGTCGTGCGCGGCCGCGGCGGACGCCTCGGCGCGGGCCGCGGCGTCGCGCGCGGCGGCGGCGGCGGCGCTCCGGCTCGACTCGCGCTGCGCGTCGAGCGCGACGCGGTGCTGGGCCTTGAGGGCCGTGGCCTGGGCCGCCGTCGCGGCGTGAGCGCCGCCGCGTGCTC